TTATTATTATTATTATTATTATTATTATTATTATTATTATTATTATTATTATTATTATTATTATTATTATTCCAGGATAAAAATGCTTTTCATTTTAGCAGAGGTGGAGGAACAGCTTGTCTGTTCAAGGCTTTGTTTATTGCTTATTCATTACATATTACATATCTGCCTTTCCTCCAACGAGGCAGTATATTTGGCTTTTCTTCTCCTCACTTCATCCTCCCCTGAGGTCAGCCAGCTGGAGAGAGAATGACCGGCCCAAGGTGACCTAGTGACTTTCGTGACTCAAGGGGAATCGAACCTGGATTTGTGGAGTCCTAGTCCAACATTCCAGCTGGCTGCAGAGCTCAATAGTTTAGCCATCTTGCTGCAGAACTAGAGACTGGGAGTTTGATTCCCTGCTGTAAGTACAGCCAGCCTCTGTAGCCTTGGGCAAGCTATAAGATGGCCCCAAGACTCCCCCTAGAGGAAGGGAAGGGTAAACCACTTCTGAATATTCTCCACCTGGGAAATCCTGAAAAGGGTCACCGCAAGTCAGAATGGACTTAACAGCACAGGATTATGATTAGTCTAATAGGCTGGTTCTCCAATTTGAGTTTATTTGGGACAACCTGCTTGGGTCTCCATGTTTATTGTGCGGTTGTTCTCCTTTTAAAAGTGAGCAGTAGGCAAAGCGAAAGCCCAAAGTCACCAGGGCCACCCCTTCTGTCTCAGACACAGATCAGATGGAGACTCATATCAGTGATGCTCATCCCTACCTTCATTGTTAAAACAAACACAAAAATCCCTGCATATAGAAGACTAATCTACAAGGAGAGATGGAATCTTAGATGGTTAACTAAGGGCTACTTAGTGAAACCAGGAAACCAATGAACTGAAATATTTACGGGGAGTATTCAAATCATGAAACAAATTGTTGATAGAAACAGGTTGGGACTTGGTTTCATGAATAAAGTCTATTCTAAATTAATTTTTCCATATATAAGATGCCCCATGTATAAGACGCCCCCCCTTCTCTAATCCAAAATTAAGAAATCTGAGCGGGGTTTAGGGGGAAAGGGATCAAAGCACTGCAGGATCGCTTTGATCCCTGCTTTCCCCTCCACTTGTTTTTGTTCTCTCCTCAGCTTACTTCCATGTATAAGACAACCCTCAATTTTTAGTCTAAAGATTTTAGACAAAAGTATAGTCTTATACATGGAAAAACTTGGCATCTTGAGATTCTATCTTTCCTTGCACATTAGATTTAACTGGATGTTTCCAGTTTCTTTTGTGTTCATGTAGAAAACCAGCAGGGCAGGGAGAAGGATTCTAGTCTACCTTTCCCCGTGATGTTTTAGTTTTCTGCATGCAGGGATTTTTAAAATCACATATACGAAAGAAGAACAACAAGAACAATCACCACCACCTTTGAACTGCAGAGCTGGAATATTCAATTATGTTAATATTCAGCTACAATCAAAAGTTTCCAGGGCAATACATATTATTCCCTTCAGGCCTGGCTAGGCATAGGAACAGAGGACAGCTAGGGCCATCCTGCAAGCTTTCATGGCTGACAAATGTCCACAGTCGAAACCTCTATTACCAATAAAGGAGTCCACCCTCCATCATCTTTGGGAGATAGAGGCTTAATGGTGAAATGGCTGCCCTCTGTACAGAAGGGCTGGGTTCTAATCCTGCCCATCTCCAGGGAGGACTGGAAAAAATCCTTGTCAAAAAGCTGGAGAGCCGTTGCTGCTCAAGTTATGAGATGGACCAAATCCATCTCTGAATGAGATGGGCCAAAAGTGACTAATACAAATGGGATTTCCTTTGGATTTCTCTACCACCCTTTGGCTAAGCATGCACACAATTCTATAGCTGCAAAAAACAGCAATGGGGCAGGGGTGGGAAAGGGTGGTTGGAGTTGATATAGGTTTCCATTGGGGATTTCTGGACATGCACATCAAGCTCTTGAAAAAAGTGGCTCCAACTACAGTCCCCAAGTCCAGGCAGCAGGAAAAGAGGAAGACCAAATATGAGATGGATTGATTCCCTAAAGGAAACCACAACCCTGAGCTTTCAAGAGCTGTGCAGGGCTGTTGAGGAGAGGACATTTTGGAGGTCACTCATTCATAGGTTTGCCATAAGGCAAGTGTGTGTGTGTGTCCTGACAACAACAAATTGAAACTACCCTCCTTTTTTAAAAAAAATGCTTAGTTACCCTTGTCATACACTCATCCTGTTGTTATTTAGCATGTTCTCCTTGTGTTTTCAGTTACTACCAAAACGGGGGGGGGGAGAGTACTCTATGGACCTCTCTGGGTTTTTAGTACAGGCAGACTAAACAGGTAGCTGAGGTTTTTCCGTGTCAAGCCTCTTTGCACTTCTGCACCTTCCCCGCCCCATTCCAAGCTCGTTGGAGCGGCTACCCCTTCCACCTGAACCCACCACCACCCTTGCACCTGATCGCCCACCCCTGCTCCTTTTAAATAAAACTCACTTCTCCAGTTGTGCTGCAGCCTTGCAACTCTGCAATCTAAAATGCACCAAAAAGGGGAGGAGGAGAAGGAGAGAGCGCCTTGCATCCGAAAGGCTGTTCCTTTTTTTTTCTTTCCCAGCCAGACCTGGAGAAAGAGGCGGGACAGGAAGAGGAATGTAATTTTTGCAGCATCAAAGGAATGTCTTGTTCTGGCCCTCTCTAGGAATCGGAGCTCAGTAATTTTAACCCTTTCATAGAAAAATCTGTGTTCTATATTATACACAACAAAGTAAACGAGATATTTAATGGGTTGGTTTTACCTTCCTACACCCGCTCAGTATCTATGGTTGAGTAGGGATTCGAACTCAGGACTCCTGAGTCTTAAGTCCAAGATCTGTCCATTGCACCACACAAGGTATCCATAATTTTAAGATGCTGTCCAGGTTCTGGTATAATCTTTCTGGTATAATTCCTCTGTGTATTCTTGCCACCTCTTCTTGATCTGTTTCTGTGAGGTCCTTCCCATTTTTGTCCTTTATCATGTCCATCTTTGCACAAAATGTCCCTTTAATATCTCCAATATTCCTGAACATATCTCTGGTTTTTCCTTTTTAATTATTTTCTTCTTTTTCTTTGCATTGTTCATTCTTGTCACTCCTTGCTATTCTTTGGTAGTCTGCATTCAATTTTCTGTAACTTTCCCTATCTCCCTTGCATTTTGTTTCCCTTCTCTGCATTTGTAAGGCCTCCTTGGACAGCCACTCTGCTTTCTTGCATTTTCTTTTCTTTGGGATGGTTTTTGTTGCTGCCTCCTGTACAATGTTACGAGCCTCCGTCCATAGTTATTCAGGCACTCTGTCCACCAAATCCAGTTCCATAAATCTGTTCTTCACTTCCACTGTGTATTCATAAGGGATTTCGTGTAGATTTCCCCTGACTAGCCCAGTGGTTTTTCCTACTCTCTTCAGTTTAAGCTTGAATTTTGCTATGAGAAGCTGATGATCAGAGCCACAATCAGCTCCAGGTCTTGTTTTTGCTGACTGTATAGAGCTTCTCCATCTTTGGCTGCAGAGAATATAATCAATCTGGTTTCGGTATTGCCCATCTGGTGATTTCCATGTATAGAATCACCTCTTGTCTTGTTGGAAAAGAGTGTTTGTGATGACCAGCTTGTTCTCTTGACAAAACTCTTATTAGCTTTTGCCCTGCTTCATTTTGAACTCCAAGGCCAAACTTTCCTGTTGTTCCTTTTATCTCTTGAATCCCTACTTTAGCATTCCAGTCTCCTATAATGAGAACATCTTTCTTTGGTGTCAGTTCTAGAAGGTGTTGTAGATCTTCATAGAATTGGTCAATTTCAGCCTCTTCAGCAT